TCCCCACACTGGAGAGGGCCTGCCCCTCACCTAGGTGTAGGGTGTTCCTGTGGCATGTCACCAGCACCACTCCAGCCCATCATTAAAGAGAAGGCGCCTGGTCTCAGGACTAGGACACACAGTGTCCAGCACTCCCTGCTCTAGAACCAGCGTGTCAACTGCGGTTTCCAGTGTCCCACACTGGGACTGGCTGTCACTGCTTGGAGAAATCATCATACCTCCAAAGGCTCTTTCCATCCAAGCCACCTAAAAGAGAGAGCAGGGGATCAGGCGCTGGTGGCTTCCACTGGGCATGCACTTGCCCCTGGGGGCAAAGTTGGGACTTGGGGTCACAGCAGTGCCACCAGAAGAAAGAGGAAATAGATAATCCTTCGGGGCTTCTGAAACTTAAAAAAGAAAGAAAGAAAGAAAAAGAGAGAGCTCATAGTGAGTATGCTTTATGCAAAAGTTTATGGACAAGGCCGTAACACTGGAAGTGAGCTGGTGTGGGGGCAGCTGTCCTCCCCAGGAAGCAGCAGTTTGGGTCTCAAGACCCTTTTCACTTCTGAAGCCTTTAGTATCCTCAGTGATTTTTATCTGAATTACATTTATCACGTTACCATATTAGAAATTAAAACTGAAAAAAAATTTCTTAATAGTCCCACAAGGTAAGATAGTGTAAACAGCAAAAATGTTAGTATGTAAAACTGAAAAACTTTTAATTATTCATTTCAAACTAAAAATTAACCAATTTCTTATTAACATGAATACTATTTTGAGAAATTATTTTTCAAAACAAAAAAAATTAGTGAAGGGCATTTACATTTTTATCAGTCTCTTTACTCTCTGGCTTAAGATAACCAGATTCTCATTTTTGCCTCTGCAGTCCAAAACTGCAACACTCAGCCCTCCACTATTGTTCCACAAGTGCAGATTCAACCAACCTCAGATCAAAAACATTCAGGAAAAATAATCCCAGAAAGTTCCTAAAAGCAAATTTTGAGTGTGCTGACAATTTACATAGTATTTACATTGCACTAGGTATTACAAGTATGTATCATATGTATTATAAGTATTATAAGAGATGATTTAAAGTGTATGAGATGATATACAAATGTTATATGCAAATGTTACGCTATTTTACATAAGGGACTTGAGCATCCAGTTTAGTAGCCTTAGGGTTCCTGGAACCAATTTTCTGCAGATATCAAGGTACAATCTTAATAATTTTTTTATGGTAATATAATTATTTTACAATATCGTATTGGTTTCTGCTGTACAACATTGTGAATCAGCCATATGTACACATATATCCCCACCCTCTTGAGCCTCCCTGCCACCACCAACCCCGCCCCACCCTCTGAGGCCATCACAGAGCACCAAGCTGCCCTCCCTGCGTTAAGCTATACAGCAGCTTCCCACCAGGTGTCTGTTTCACATGTGGCCATGTATGTATGTCAGCGCGACTCAATTCATCCCGACCTTTGTGTTCCCCCTGCTTCCAGAAGTCCATTCTCTACATCTGCACCTCGATTTCTGTCTGCAATTAGGTTCATCAGTACCATTTTTCTAGATTCCATATATATGCATTTAACATACAATATTTCTTTCTTTCTTAGTTCACTCTGTATGACAGTCTCTAGGTTCATCCACATCACTTCAACTGACTCAATGTCATTCCTTTTAATGGCTGAGTAATATTCCATTGTGGGCTTCCCTGATGCCTACAGTGGAGACACCAGTTTGATTCCTGGGTTGGGAAGGTCCCCCAGAGAAGGAAATGGCAACCCATTCCACTATTCTTGCCTGGGAAATCCCATGGGCAGAGAAGCCTGGCTGGCTACAGTCCATGGGGTCATAAGAGAGTCAGACATGACTTAAGAGACTAAACAACAAATATTCCACTGGATGTATGTACCACAACTTCTGCATCCACTCATCTGATGGTGGACACATAGGCTGCTTCCATGTCCTACATATTTTAAATAGGGCTTCAATGAACATTGGAGTACATGTATCTTTTTGAGTTATGGTTTTCTCAGGGTATAGGACAAGTCATATGGTAATTCTATGTTTAGCTTTAACACTTTCATTGTGCCTATGTTTAACATAAGCTAAATAAGATTATTATAAATTATAGACATAATTATAAATTTAAGATTTATATGATTATAAATTATAAATACAAATATTATAAATTATATCTGATGCAAATTTGTCAGCAAGAAAAGTTAATTGTTTAAATTTTTTAAAAAAATTTATTCTTTAATTGGAGGAAAATTGTTTCACAATGTTTGGTTTCTGCCATATGTACAATACAATTCAGCCAAAAGTATACAGTTACGTCCAGCTTTTTAAGGAACCTCCATGATGCTCTCCACAGTGGTTGCACCAATTTATATTCCCACCAACAGTGCAGGAAGTGTCCCTTTTCTCCACACCCTCTCTAGCATTTATTGTTTGTAGATTTCTTGATGATGGCTATTCTGGCTGGAGGTGATACCTCATTGTAGTTTTGATTTGCATTTCTCTAATAATGAGTCCCCTGCATTGGCAGGCACATTCTTTACCAGTGATGTCGAGCATCTTTTCCTGTGTCTGTTGGCCATCTTCTTTGGAGAGATGTCTCTTTAGGTGTTCTGCCCATTTATTTATTGGGTTGCTTGTTTGATATTGAACTCCATAAGCTGTTTGTATATTATGGAAATTAATCCTTTGTTGCTTGTTTGCAACTATTTTCTCACATTCTGAAGGTTCTTTTCATATTGTTTATGGTTTCCTTTGCTGGGCAAAAGCTTTTAAGTTTAATTAGGTCTCAATTATTTTTGTTTTTATTTTCATTACTTTAGGAGGTTGATCAAAAAAGATCTTTCTGTGATCAATAAATTTGGTAAAGCTGCAGGATACAAAACTAACACAGAGAAATCTCTTGCATTCCTATACACTTAACAATGAAAAAGAAGAAAGAGAAATTAAGTTAACAATCCCATTTACCACTGCAACAAAAAGAATATCCAGGAATAAATCTACCTAAGGGACAAAAGACCTGTACTCAGAAAACTACAAAGTACTGATGAAGGAAATCAAAGAGGACACAAGCAAATGGAAAAGTATACCATGTTCTTAGATTGGAAGAATCAATATAATGAAAATTAATATACTACCCAAAGCAATCTACAGATTCAATGAAACCCCTGTGAAATTACCTTCAAAGAATTAGAACAAAGAAGTTTACAATTTGTAGGGAAATACAAAAGACTCTGAATAGCCAAAGTAATCTTGAGAAAGAAAAATGGCGCTGAAGGAATCAGGACTCCCTGACTTCAGACTATACCACAAAACTAGTCATCAAAACAGTGTGGTACTGGCACAAAAAACAGAAATACAGATCAACTGAATGGGAGAAAGGGCCCAAAAATAAACTCATGAACCTATGGTCACCCTAATCTATGATAAAGGAGGCAACAATATATATTGGAGAAAAGACAGCCTCTTCTAGTAAGTGGTGCTGGGAAATCTGGACAGCTACATGTAAAAGAATGAAATTAGAACATTCTCTAATACCATGTTGTTTAGTGGTTGTTTAGTCACTAAGTCATGTCCAACTCTTTTGCAACCCCATGGACTATAGCCAGCCAGGCTCCTCTGTCCATGGATTTCCCAGGAAAGAATACTGGAGTGAGTTGCCATTTCCTTCTCCAGGGGATCTTCTCAACCCAGGGACTGCACCCACGTCTCCTGCAACCCCTAATACCATACATAAAAATAAAATGGATTTTATAGTGTAAGAACCAACACTATAAAACTCTTGGAGGAAAACAGGAAAAACATCCACATAATGTCTTGACTGATGGATATGAAGAAAATTTGGCCTCATGCAGATATGTAGTTGGAAAAGAGGACTTTCTGGACACCTTGACAAGGACTCAAGCCTGAGTGCAGGCTGCACCTGTTCTTACTGGCTCCCCTACCCTGAGTCATCAGAAGGGCATGTGAAGCAGAGCCCTACCCAACCCTAGTCCAGAACCACACAGTCAAAACTAGCCCACCCAGATGCAAAGAGAGAGAAATTAAGTGTTTATTTAAAAAAAAAACCACACACACCTTTATTTTTGGCTGCACTGGGTTCTTGTTGCTGCTCCGGCTTTTCTCTAGTCGTGGTGAGTGACAGCTACTTCCTAGTGATGGTGCACGGGCTTATTTTGGTGGCATCTCTGTTGTAGAGCACAGGGTCTAGGGCAAATAAGCTTCAGTAGTAGTGGCATACAGGCTGAGTTGCCCCCCCCAGCATGTGGAACCTTCCCAAACTAGGGATCGAATCCATGACTCCTACATTAGCAGGCAGATTCTTAACCACTGGACCACCAGGGAAGTCCAATAAATTACTGTGTGCCACTGACTTAACAAAAGGGATGGTGATTAAAACAAAAAAATCTCACAGCTTATGGAAATTTTAATACAAGCTGAAAACTGTTATAACCAACTTGGTCAAGAATAATTGCCCATAAGAAAATTTCTCTTTGGATCTTTTAATGTAACACAGTGGATCCCTGAGCAAAGTCTCCCAACATAAAACACTTACCTCTGGCCTCCACCGTTTACCCCAAGTTCCACTGCATTAAGCCTATCGACCAATCTTCCTACTGCAATCTCAGTCTTTCCCTCTGCAGAGCCTACTAGACACGTGATCCCATAATCCTGGAACAAGCAGCCCAAATCCTACCCCATGGCTGCCGGGGCCAGAAACACTCCCTTGCCCCCAGACCTATGGGAACCACGGTTGCACAGGCAGACGGCATGAAGGACAGGAGAGGGTCTGGACCCCAGCCACTCCCCTAAACCTCGCCCGTCTCCTGATGATCACTCCCTTTGTCACTGTAATGAGTCTGGCTCTGTAACCAAAAAAGTCTAATTAGACTGGAATCATTTTAACTAGTGCTGCATCAAACACTAATCTATATTTTGGTGGTAGTATATCCACCAGTGCTAGTTTTAACCATATATGAAAGATCAGCTTACAATTTTGTGACAAATGTTTTATTTATAGAGAATTAAAATTTAGGCATAAACATGACACAAACATTATATATAGCACTGTCCATGACAGAAGTTATGATACTGTTCACAGAAAGGACTTGGTTCAAGTTACACACCGCAAATGCTAGAATGTGCACCTGGGGAGGAGAGGGGAACTGATAGCCTTTTTGTTTTGGTTTGGCTTAAATAACTTCTGGATGCATTCAAGTAATACTGATCATTTAATGTTCAAAAAACTTTTAATAAACAAATTCCAAGTAAAATTAATTGAAATATTTATAATACGATTTCATTGTTACACAGTATTTCCAATGTACAATCAAGGCAATGCACAACATTTAAAAGGAAGGGGAAAAAAAAAAAAGGAAGGGGAAAATATCTATTGCACCCACAAGGGAAAAGGCTTTTTATTCATTTTCGGGTATGCTGCAATTCAGTATTCATGTTAAAACCTTTACACACTTTAGTAAACACAAAGTCCTACATGTAATGCAGCACTGTGGGTTAGAAGACCCTTTTAACAAAGTTTCCAAGTGCAAGGCTAACTCTCCAATCAATATCCCAAACACTAGAGGACTGACCCATCTCCTGGCACGCCCTGAACTCTGAACTGCAGCACTCTGCCGCCTCATTCAGTCTGTGTGGTCTTGTGGGAGACAGCATTTGTCCACCTCAGTGTCCTGTTAAATAATCCTGTGTAGAATCTGAGGCAAATGAATCCACATCCTCGTTCTCCGAGTCGTCACTGCTGTCATCTGCAGCCGGCTCTCCTGTGAGGGCTATGCGAGCGTAATCATCTGTGTCTATTGACTTGCAAAAGTGGATGGCGTATTTCAGCTTCTCCTCCAGCACCTGCTTACAGGAATACCTGGGCAGCTTCAACAAGAAGAAGCATGTGTAGGATTCAGGAAGGAAATGGTCAGGTGGGTTGTATTTATCCAACACCTGTTGATGAAAAATGTTAAATAATCAGAGACCATGTACAAGGAAAGGTAAAACTGCAATCTGTTTTATTACGTTCGTTAGACCTGACTCTCATTCACAGACAGCATGATGTTTTGGCTAAGAATAACAAAATATCAGAAAAAAATATCATCCAGTCAATTTTAGAAATAAAAAGGAGCAACTCATTAATTCTTAGGACTTTCAGTAAAAACAGCAATTGGTTACTGTGATTCTACCCCCAAGGGCTGGCAGGTAAACAGAGCCTGATTCTGACCAGTCAGAACTCAAGGCAGAACTCTCACCCTCAATCTGACAGGCGCTCTGATTTTTCTCAGTAAGCAGCATTATTTATTGATTCGCCTAATTTAATCAGAGAATCAGACAAATGCTTTGTTACATGATGTGTATGCTCAGAATCTAGAATATGCTGACTTAATAGCAGCATATTCTGGGGGTGGACAGATACATTTTTTAAAAGTAGGTAGTGGTACCCAACACCTGTAGTCATAAAATTCTGAGCTATCATATCAGAGAAGTTAAGTGTTTTTCATTTTGTTTCCAGAGGGTAGGAACACCATGTAACAGGAAAGAACTGTCTGTTTTCTCATCTGCAGCAGAGCTCTGTGCGAGGGGCATGACTCTCAGCTGTTCCCAAAGGACATGCAGGAGCCACACCTGGATGACGAAGTCTCTGCCCCGGAAGTCGGCGATGGTCCTGGGCAGCCTTGTGCGGCCCCACACGAAGCGAAGGAAGAGGGAGCGCTCAGTGTTGGAGAAGGACTCCATCACCTCCCAGAACCACTGGATCAGGGGTGCAGAGGGCTCCACCCCCTTGTACGTTGCCACGGACTTTAAAAGATGCAGAGGGATGTCTGGGCTGCCACACACCTGTGGAGGGACACACTGCACATCAGCACACCACAGCTTTCTACCAGGGCTGGTGTGGGGAGGGTCACGTTGGGGAGGCTGGAGGGGAGGAGCGGGAGGCAGTGAACACTCGCTTCCTGAGCATGTCTGTCTTCACTCAAAAGGCATGAGCAGATCTCAGACCTCCAAGAGCGAGGTTTAACTGGGAGGCTAACTGGTGGTGCTGATTCAGGGGATTACCACGAGAAGGGTGCTGCAAGGAAGCGCAACGAAGGGGTGGGCATACCATCGTCTCCAATTCATATCCGGTGAACAGAGAGAGAAGAGGGACAGGCACGACTCGGGCCATCCCCTCTCGAACGGCAGCTACCTGCTCATCAAACTCATGGAGTCTGAAAGAAAACATTCACTGTGTGTTTCATGCAGATCATGTTCTACTCATACCAAGTCTCATTACATGGAGAAGCAAGGCATGTGCTTTGCAGACAGAGTCTCAAAGCTTCTTGCGGACTGAGTTGTCTGACTGGCCCACAGAATTCTACCTCAAAAAATGAGCCACAGCTATACCCATTGCAAGACACAATTCTCAAACCTTCCCTCCTTCCCAGGAAGGAGCCAGAATTAGACATGCAGAGTCAGAGTCAGGTCCCAAAACAGCCAAGCTAAGAACTTTCTTAGTGTCAATGCAGTATCTAAGGTCCTCGTGACCGGCAAGCTAGGGCATGAGACCGATGAACACAGGTGGGCAACGCAGGATGCCTGCAACGACTGCCCTCAGCCAGAGTCCAGCAAGCCAAGCCCACGTGACACACGGAGACTCATCCCAACGCCTAGCTGGGTGATTCTGGAGGACAAGGCTTCCAAAGACCACAGCAGTAAGGGGAGAGCGGGCAGAGGCCACGGATGGCGCTGCCAGTCCGCAATGCAGCAAACACAAGTGAATGGTAGTGCAAGGGCCACGCGGGGCGGAGGCCATCCAAACACAGCCCTGCCCCAGCAAAGGCGGCACACAGAGGCCCTGTGACTGCTGGCACAGTCCAACAGGGGGCTTCTCACCCTGGCGTTCTAGCCAGAGCCAGGAATCCCAGGTGAGAATACTAAGTACTCTGACCCTGACCACAAAGTAAGCTTGATGATTGTAGGCAGCAACTGCTAGAGCCAAGTCCATTAAATTTTACTTATGGAAAAAAGCTGCCACCCAAGCAAACCATTTTCTGCTGTTTTTGCTATTTATTGAGTTGAAGTTCTGGAAGGCAGACAATCACACACCTGTAGTTTATTGCGAGCCGGACGTACTCTGCGCGGTTGTCCAGAGTGATGTGTGTGTACTTGGAGCTCAGCTGGATGTCCTGGCCGCTAGCACTAGGCACTGTGAAGGGCAGGCTCATGGCCTCAAACTCCTCCGAGGTGGCTTCATTATCACGGATGTACATGAGTCCAGGGATAAAATCTTTATCGACCTTCCAGGGGAAGAAGGGAGTTCACCCATTGAGCCAGGGCTGCTCCTCTGCCCCAGACCCCAGTTCACATCCCACACAGAGGTGCCGGGTCTCGATGTGCCTGGAGCCTGCGGCAAGGCTCCAAGTGCACTGCATGTGCCAGGAAATAAAGGGGGAGCAGCAGGGGAACATTTTCACCCATGGAGCTGTAACAAGGAAGTCCTTACAATCACTTGCTGAGTGACTATTGGTCGGAGGCGAGAGTCCCACCTGCACTGAGGGAGCCACACCCTGGAGAGGCCCCAGGAGCCTCAACAGTCCCCAGCTGCCTGCCCACGTGCTCAGCTGTGCCACAGGAAAGACAGCAAGCTTTCTCATCTGACAAGAATGTACAAGTGGCAAAGCCCACAAAGCAGGTATCAAGTTCTAGAAGCAGGCTGGCCTGAGCCCATACTGCCACTCTGCCACCAGATGGCCAGCAGATCGACCATCCTGAGTGTGCTGGGACCTCAGGGCAGGCTGTGCCTCTGAACCAGACCGCAGGTCACCCCCACCATGCCCTGCACTGGACACACACTGAGTCCCATTTCTCTGTCCTCTCCCTCCTGGAGGTTACCTCACTGAGGTCTGCAATGGTGAGGCTCATCCCAGCCAGCTGCTTCCAGACAGGCTCAGCAAGGTTCAGACTCAAGGGACTTCCAGTCCGAATGGCAATACCCAGTAACACACCTGCTCATTCAAAGCAGAAAAGACAGGATGTACTTGGTACTGATGACAAAATATCTAGTCCACTCAACCACACAGAGGAGACGAGCTCAGCCCTGGGGCCTCAGCGCCTTCTAAACCAATGCGACCCTGATTCACAGAGACTTAGCTCTGTCCTCGAAGCCTTATACCCTACACTAAAACTCATTACTTGCTTCTGTTCCTATGGACTAAGTCGATAACTCTTCTGCTCTTTACACCAACAGTTGTAGCCACAGTGGCTAATCCTTGTTCCTTTGATGGCAAAGCAGACAGCCGGAGCTTCTTAAGGAAGTTGGATGCAGTGCCATGAGTGAGGACGCAGACTCACCAGGGAGGGCCTGGCCAAATGTAAGGACTCTCTAAGATGTGACCCCAAGTTTCGGATATGTTTAAGATGCAGAAACTGTATCTCAGATCTTCTGAGCGGCAAGGGCACCACCTGATCCTCAGCACACAGCTGCTGGTGGCCCAGATCCCCACATTCCCACAGCTGCACACTGAGGAAGCTAAAGGCAGGTATTTACAGCAGTCGCCACCGCTCCCCAGACAGAGCAGCCGTCACACGAGGCAAGAGCGCACGGAGCTGCCCCACACGAGAGGCCTACCCAAGAACCGGAACATGCTGGTGTGCACCGGCGCCCTGGCCGCTGGGCTCAACAAGTAGCAGTCCCGGTTGGCCCCCGACTCGTCCCTCCCATTGGGGGTTACGATCAGAAGCGGGGTGAGTCCATTCTGCAGCTCCTCACAGATCTCAGCTATGGACTCACTGTAGCCACCACCACAGTCATCCACAGATTCACCTAGGGAAAAGGCAGGTCAGCAGCTCCCAGTCACTGACTGCATCAGAGCTCCCTGGGGAGCATCTAGGGGCTCTCCCAGTTCTCCTCTCACACCAACACCCCTCTACACACGCGAGCTCTCACCCACAAACTTGACCTTCCAGACGCGGTGTGGGAGGAGGAGGCTGTCAGGACTGAATGAGCTCATCTTAGCGCACATCTGCCCAAAGACAGACTTGGTTCCATCAGGACCTGCGAGGCCCCCTTTACTTCTTGAACGCTTGACCTAGAGACAGAAAGAAGGAAAATACATAACAAAGTCCATAGCAGAAAGCACATGGGTGCCATTTTCACAAGCTGACCAGCCCTGAAACCCCTGCATCCAAAGCAATGCTCTGCAGCTGATCATCCCTCCTGCTACCCTCGCCTGCCCTGTCCTGGTCACAGTGGGGGTGAGGGTGGGGTCCCTCTACAGACAACAAACAGCACTCAGACGCCTGGTGTCACCCCTACAACCTCGGGCCACTGTGAGCACCCAGCAAACCCAAGTACAACCACCTGAGCATGCCTGTGCAAACATGAAGGGCAGCTGGACCTCCCAAGACTAACTCCTGTCCTCGTCTCCTCACCCACACCTGCTGAGGACCCCAAAGACCAGCCTTGAGCGCCTCTCTCTCCCGCCCTTGACACAGGCTGCCTGTGAGACAGCGGTGGCCATCAGGCCAGGGCCCGCTCACTGGCACACACAGCACATCAGGATGGGAGGCGACTACCGAGAGAGCACGGAACACAGGGAAAGCTGTGAGCAGCTCAAGTAGGCAGTAACTGCAACCTGGTTTATACTCACACTGTATTTAACCTTACCCATCGTCTCCATGAAGAGGAGGCAGGATACCTGAAAGCAGCCTCTAAGCAGACCATCAGCCCTGGGAGGGCCACATCAAGTGGCTCTGAGACCAAACCTGGATGCACCAGCTTGGCCAGAACAGAACCTTCCTTCCCTCCTTTCCTCACCTGCACAGATTCTACTCAACCTTTGGGGTCACTGTGTCTCCCAGTATGATCACTTATCCCACCTGCATTTCTCGTCATAAGCTATCCAGACTGATGCAAAAGTAGCTGTGGTTTTGCACTGTTGAAATTTGCCATTTGACACTGTAATACATTCTTAAATGTGGTTATGTTATACATCATTTTAATGTGCATTTATTGCTTTATGTTTTTTGCTAATGACTTATTACTTGCTGCTTATTTTATATTTATTTTAAACTATGGAAATGATGTTAGACCAAAAGCAAATCCAAGCGATTTTCTTATTCAAGTTCAAAATGGGCTGTAAAGCAGCAGAAACAACACATTTGGCCCAGGAACTGCTAACGAATGTACATCACAGTGGTTGTTCAAAAAGTTCTGCAAAGGAGACGAGCCTTGAAGATGAGGAGCATAGAGGCCGGCCATCGGAAGTTGACAACGACCAACTGAGAGCAATCATCAAAGCTGATCCTCTCATAACTACACAAAAAGTTGCCCAAGAACTCAACATCAACCATTCTACGGTCATTTGGCATTTGAAGCAAATTGGAAAGGTGAAAATACTCAATAAGTGGGTGCCTCATGAGCTGATTGAAAATAAAAAAAATTGTCATTTTGAAGTGTCATCTTCTCTTACTCTATGCAACAACAACAAGCTATTTCTTGATTGGATTGTGATGTGAGATAAAAAGTGGATCATATGACAACTGGTGATGACCAGTTCAGCAGCTAGACCAAAAAGCAGCTCCAAAGCACTTCCCAAAGCCAAACTTGCGCCAAAAAAAAAAGGGTCATGGTCACTGTTTGGTGGTCTGCTGTTGGTCTGATCCACTACCACTTTCTGATTCCTGGAGAAACCATGACATCTGAGAACTACACTCAGCAAGTCGATAGGATGCACTGAAAACTGCAACGCCTACAGCCAGCATTGGTCAATCGAATGGGCCCAATTCTCCGTGACAACGCCCAACCCTATGCTGCACAACCAATGCTTCAAAAGTTGAACAAATTGGGCTAAGAAGTTCTGCCTCATCTGCCACATTCACCTGACCTCTCGCCAATTGATACCACTTCTTCAAGCATCTCAACAGCTTTGAGGGAAGGGAAAACACTTCCACAACCAGCAGAAGGCAGAAAATGCTTTCCAAGAGTTTGTCAAATCCTGAGGCATGGATTTTTATGCTACAGGAATATACAAACTATTTCTCATTGGCAAAAATGTGTTGATAGTAATGGTTCCTATTCTGATTAATAAAGATGTGTTTGAGGGAGGGAGGTGGGAGGGGGTTTAGGATGGGGAACACATGTAAATCCATGGCCGATTCATGTCAATGTATGGCAAAAACCACTACAATATTGTAAAGTAATTAGCCTCCAACTAATAAAAATAAATGGAAAAAAAAAATAAAAGGTAATAGCAGAAAAAAAAAAAGAAAGTGAAAGAGGAGAGTGAAAAAGTTGGCTTAAAGCTCAACATTCAGAAAACTAAAAAATATAAAATAAAATAGTGTCTGAGTCTAGTTATTCAGGGTCTGAAACTGCAATTATTTTTGCACCAACCTAATAAGATGCTTCAACAGATCGGAACAAGCTCTCATTCAGCTACTCAGTGGACTAAGTAACTCTGCAGCCTGAAGCTCAGGCTGTGCTTCAGAATCACCCAGGAAGCTCAGTCTGAAGTCATGGCACAATGAGAAGTTAAGGAAAAATGATTCTGAAAATGTACTTTTACACCGACTCCTCTGGCTAAACTCTCATCATCCTTAACTTCTTTGTGAGTTCTCAGCTGAGTTTAACAGCTAATTTTCCTACTGCAGAAATTATCAATCTTAAGACTAAAAGAACAATGACAATAATAATAACAACAGTTTCCTGTGGAGTGAGTTTTCCTACAAGCCACACATTCAGCTGCACGTTCTCATATGTCATTTCATTTAGCCTCAGCAGCTCTCTAAGGCACACAATACCTGGGGGGAAAGTGAGCTACAGAAAGGAAGAGGATGCGTTCCTATGTGAGGGGTAAGAAAGACACAGACTTGCTTCCCACCTGAAAGATACATCACCTCCATTTACAGTGCCAGTTAACACAACCTCAGCCGCTATGAAGGAACATGGCTATACGAATACAGCCAGGACACCGCAAGGGCAGGGTTGTGTACCTGATATCTCTGAACAGCAGGAATATACGTAGTTTTAACTGTCTTTAAATTTTCTAAATTTTTGGGAACGTGCTCATTTCCATAATTGCATTATCTATAATATAAATTTTTAATATACACTGATTTTGAGACCCTGTTACAAAACTAAATCAAATTCAAACAGAAATACCCTCCAAGAACACAGCGTACTTTCACTGTCTCTAGGGCACTGTCAACGTAAAGTAAGAAAACCTCTGCACAGGCATCCCCACAAAAGCTGCAGGCCTGGGAGAGCATGGAGAAGAGGCGACCCACACCACCTTTCTGGGTGAGTACTGGTGTCTGCGTTCGCCTTGGACTTACAGACTGTTCCCTCCACCACTCTGCTCTATTTTATCTCCATCTTTGTGGAAGTTCTTCCTAATTTTAAGGGTGGGTATGAACCACTGAAGTGAAGAGAACCTGGCTCTTGCACCTGAGGGTCTCTGGGCAGCTGGAGTGGCTGCTCTGACATCAGGGAGCACTGTATGCTGCACTGAAGGTTATTTACATGTCTTTAAAAATGTATAGTATCAGTCTGTTTGCCCTCTTATCTACTCATGTCTGTTCAGACATGCACCCAACAGACTCATAACTCGAAGTACCAGGGATATGAAGACGAGGAAGAGCGAGGCATCAGGGACACCACGACGGAACAATGTGCCTCGTGCAGACTCCAGGTTATCCAGGTTCCCAGACGAGCGAGGCCCCTGGGTCTGGACATCCACACTGGGCCACTGGCCCCAACACGGTGCCTGTGTATGGCTGAGGCAAGCCTGAGATCCAAGAACACCCAACTGTCTAAATTAGATGATCTGCAGCCATCAGCTTTCTGCACTTATGAACTTTAGCATTTAAAACCTAATAAAGTAGAGCAAACCAAAATGATTCTCCAAGTAGGGAAATAAAAGCTTTCTCATTAATCTAGCTAAACAGCCCATTTGTTTGTGGAATGGGCTGACTGACCTCCAGCTTAACATTAAACACTATGACGTCAGTGAATTAATCACTTCCACCAGCATGGTCACACGTGTTCTCCAACAAAGGACAAGAGTTGTTGTCTTAATTAAAAATGCCCCCAAGAACAACTCTGGAAGAATTTCTAGTCATATAACCACCATCAGGGTAAAAATCATGTGCTAACAAGAAGGTTCAGGAACAAAGCACTTGTTCTTCATGGCTCGCTTTTGCTCCAGAGGGGGGACCAATTTCATTTGCATTGTAAATGTCAAGCACACACAATGTCGTCATTAGTGCCTTTTGTTTTAATTAATTCTTTTAATGTGAAGCTTATATACATTCAGCAGCAGTATAAATCCAGAGATAGTCTCCTTTTCATTTCTTTGATTAGTACTGTGATGTAAAGTCTTAGTATTAGTGATTCTGGCCTATTAAATTGACAAAGTAAGCCATCAAAACTGGGGAGGGTGTGAGGCTGGTGTGAAGAGGAAATCTGCTCTGCCTCTCAGAACCTAACCCAAGTGGGAGACTGAAGATACACACAGAGCTAGAGCCACACCAGCCGGCCCTGCTGTATCCCAGAAAAGCAGGCCCAACTTTCCAGCCCACAGCAGAGAAATCAGCATGTGCGGCTGGTTGGCATAAACAATCCCACAGCCCCAGGGCACGGGACAGAGATCTGGGTGCTTACAATGCATTAAGGGGAACAGAGAGCAAGTTACCAAAGTCTAGTTCAGGTTATAACATACCCCCCAAACATTAGCAGCAGTTGTCAACATGTGGTGGAAATATGGGTCATTTTCACTTTTCCCTTTTTGCTTATCTGGATTTGTGCTCCCAGGTTATCTGAAATAAGCTTTTCTTCTTCATGTTATAAAGAAGACCATTTACATGGCCACCTGGCAGTCTCAGCAGCACAGGCCATCCCACACACGGCACCTTGCTCCCTAACCAAGGGCACAAGAGGAGTCTTGCTGTGAGTACTTGCCGCAGGCTGCAGGGACACGACTCACAACCATGAGACCACAGCATCTGTGCGCAGAGAACCATCTCCGTTCTGTTACCTGGATGCGGTTCAGCTCCACCACGGGGCCGTGCTGGCGATCTCGCACCATGGTGGCTTGTACTACTTTCCGGAAAGCTGCTTCCTAAAACATGCAAAACAAAACTTAGAATGTCATACAGAAAGTATCACCCATAGATGTTTCACGTCATAAAACCCCCTTTTCCAGGTCTGAGGTGGCCCAGGGGATTGGCCTGGCATCGATACCCAAGTCCATGCAGAGGCTCAGGCAGCCAGCAGGGCCAGTGCTTGGCAGCACCCCCGCCCCGCCTGCCATCTGGGGGCAGGAGGCGCCCAACATGCACTGCATACAGAGGGGTGAGGGCCAGAGCCTGAGGCGCACCTGCTCTAACTCAGGTCTCAGGCCGGGCTCAGGGCTAACGAGAAACCTGAGGCCTCCCAGACAAACTGCAGGTCCAGTACTGGCAGGACTGAGGCACCAACGATACCTCAGCACCGCTGCTCTGAAAGAGACACCAGACACAAAGCGGCGCAGGGGCAGGGAGCCTGGGGGAGTGGGCCAGGGCTGCGGTGGGGACGGGGAGACCAGTGAGCGAGGAGACACATTGGCACCACGCACTGAAAGAAACCTGGGAAAAAACCCAGGGTGAAGACGACGCGCAAAGGGAGCAGGTCCCCAGCTCACCCAGGGAGGAGCATGCCTGTGTGGACCCAAGCATACGGAGAGATCGCGTGGTGGTGTGCGCGTGTCTGAGGATGGGACCAGACTCCAGAGACCCTCAAAGGAGACAGGGTCCCTGGCAGACACGGGTCGCCACACGTGGACCCGTGTTCTTTTCTGGAGAAAGGGTGGCTGGGAGAGAAGTAGACGGGAGGGCACACTGCTCTGAAGTCAGAGCCCCAGAACTCCCACCTATGAAGGAGGCAAGGGCAGAGGTGCTCCCATTTGCACAGAGGGGTCCACAGACACAGGAGACTGCGGAGTAACCCCTCCCCGCACAGTCTTGCACACCGACCAGCTACCTTTGCCCTCACCCTTCCTGACCACTGCTCTCCCCCTGCTCCGGGCAAGCGTTCTCTTCCCCACAGAGCAGCCCCACCTAGTCCCACCCTCCTAAGATGCACTCTCTTCTGGGCTCTGCTGACTCCACAGTCACCAACAAAACCTACTCCCCAAAACTCCCGCAGAAGCAATCCTTTCTAACCAAGACCAAAACAGAGGCTGATACTCTGCTGCTGACAGAAACCTTCAGCCTCCCTGAGGCTCCCCCTCCCCACTCAGCTGAGGAGACTCACACACTGTGAAATGTGCTGCCTCTCTTTGCTCTCCCCTACAAGGAGAAGCTTTCTCCCTTTTATTGCGTATTATCACCTCCACTCTGAGGAATTAAAGTAACGGTGAAAGGAATCAATTTGGTATTTTTATTACTGAAAAAAGGTTGAAGTAAAGTTTCAAATTTGATTTTACCCATCCTCGATTTTTTCCTGCTCCCCATCATCAGAGAAATTTTTCCATTACCACAATCCCCATCATCGTCTACATGTCTCTAAGCCACACATAAAAATAAAATGTGTGCACCAGTCTTTTTTGGCTAGGAACTTTAGGAAATAAAGCTAATCCTGAAAAATAATCTGTTTAGACAGTACTCCAAAACATCTAAATTTTATTATCATTAAAAACAGGCCATGACCTCGGATTAAAAACCCTATACCATCACAGAATCAGAATCCTAAGGACAAGGATTCCTTCATCTAAGCTCCACGCTTTCCCCTGTATCCCCCTCACCACACAACAACTGAGCCTCTTCTAGGCCATCCTGCCAAGATGCTTGCCAGAAACTTGATGACTTCAGATATTTCAACTCTAGACAGCTCAAATTATTACAAATGTCAGTGTGTCAAATCTGTCTGACAACTTTCAGAAGCCCTCATTCCTGATTCTTTTCACAGTCTGATAAATTACCTTCAACCAGGAATTTCTACATATCCTAGTATAATACTTTTATCTAAGCAATCTATAACTTCTGGGTCCTCTGCTAGACATACCTGGAGAAGAAATTATCTCATTTTTTTTCCCTTCCTCCTGCCAATAGGAATTTGCCATAAAGCCTCAAGTTCAGGATAGCAGAGAGCACTGTAAGAATGTAAGCTTCGTTTTGCCAAACCTCTCCTGAGGGGTGGGGTAGCGGTAAAGAGATTACAAGGGGAAATCATAGCACCTAACCATTTTTAATATAAGCTCCAAAAAAAGAAGGGATTTTTGTCTGACTGTCACCAATGCATTCTAAGAACCCAGGACAGAACCTGGTACATAGTAGGTGCTCTGTGAACATTTGCTTAATCAGCTGTTTTCAGCACATTTCTGGTTTAGAAATTTTTGTTGGATTAAAACTTACTGAGGATAACAACAACACCTACAGTAAAGATTGTTACCAAAGCAGTACCTTTCCCTGGGATATCAGAATTCCTCGAAGAGTGTCAAACCCCACAGACGGCCCAAGTCCAGTTTCATCGAGAGAGCCTTCAAGGTCAAACATGGGGATGCAGGGGCAAAAGAGCTCTGAGATGTGATGCAGTAGCAGCAGCCGGTTCCTTAGGGCTATGATAGGGATTTCCTGTAAATGATTGTACTCCATGGGAACCTGAAAGATGGAAACTTGTTATGTCAATTTAGGTGTCAAATGTATAGTTAAGCCACAGTATAGCAGATGGATTGAAAATGTTGTTCTTGAAAACAAAGAAGCACTATGACTTCTGAGTTTGGTTTGAAAAATCTTGCTGTTTTAAAAATAATATTCTGGCCATTTTGCCTGAGCCAAGAAATGTAAACCATGGAGAATGCTTTTAAAAAGAAATTAGCTTATACAAATAAATTAACTACAGAAAACGTACAATCTGTACTACCAGAACAGTTTATACAGTATTTAATAAAGGCGCCACTGATGTACACAGAACGCTGCCAAGTGTGAATATCAAGGTTCTCATGTGTGTGAGTGCTCAGCTGTGGACGGCTCGTTGCAGCCCCAGCGACTGTGCCCGCCAGGCTCCTGTGTTCATGGAGTGTTCCAGGCAAGAATACTGCAGTGGGCAGCCATTTCCTACTCCAGGGGAGTTTCCTGATCCAGGGATTGAACCTGGTAATTAAGGTTCTTAAAACACTGTTTTTATCACTATGAATCAGGTTACTTTCAGTGGAATGCCTCTGTAAATACACAAGGGGAACGGAAGGGTGTGCTGCCTGTACACCCGTGGCTCAGGATACAGACCCCACCTCTGTCACAACGCGCGCCTGCGAGCCCACTGGGCTCAACCACTGACCTGCACAGGCAGCTTTCCAGCGCTGGCGGGCTTGCTGGTTGACCAGGCCAGAGTGTGTGCTGAGCCACAGGCCACACGGTTGACCTTCTTACCCTGAAGGGCAGCTACCAGCCGAGGCCTCTGGATGGCATTTGTTGTTCCATCTCCCAATTGTCCCTCATCATTGTCACCCCACGTATAAACTTCACCTAAGGCAGCAGATGGAGAACAAGGACTTATAGACAAGAACCAATAAATGCACAACCACCACCATCTTCCCACATACACAGTCCTCACTACCCTCCAACTGCCTGTTGGCAGTCATCTGTGCAAATGTTACACTTATGGTGACCTAGATGTCTCAAGTCACAATACTCAAAAGGCAGCAGGATTCCCAGGACTCTTGACAGCCTCTGCTGGCTAAAAACTCCTTTTCCAGCCATGTCTGTTCACCAAACTAAGCATGTACCTGGAAGCAGCTCTTAATCCAAACAAGTAATATCAAAACAGTAAATACCTAACAATCCAAATTGATTTTGTATGTTAAAGGAAGAGAAAGTCAGTTTTTAACTAAACAAAATCCATGTTTTAAAGGAACATGTGCTCTTCTAATGGTTATTCCGATTCTAAACACAAGATTCAAACACTGATGAGAATCACGCTCAGCTTACCATGCTAGACTCCAATCATGACACACCATTGTATGGTTATGGTGGTGATTAGAACAGAAGTGAATTCAGTTCTGTAGAGATGGCACAAGCCTTGCCAGATTCACAGAGACTCCTCAGGATGCTATGCAGCCATAAGCACCACTCTACAAAGTACAAGGCCTGCATGATGAAGGGTGGGGTGTTGTGTCCTTCCCTTTCTGGTTCTGGATAGCGCAGTCCGAAAGCCACTGAGTAAGTGTCAGAGTGCAAGCAAGAGGAAGACAGCCTCTCTGCTGAGGCACAGCCGGGTGCACGGACTCAGACTGCACAAGGGACAAGGGCTTCCACAAAGAGGGTGAGCCCAGTAGGAGAGGCAGGCCAAAGCAGGGAGCTGTACACCCATGAGAGGGCACAATCCTGAGTGGGCGGGGCAGTCACAACCTGAGTGAGGCAAGGATCCACACGGGGGAGAAGTCAGAGGCAATGATGGGGCAGCAGCCACTACAGGAAGAGTAAGTTGCTACATTAGAGGACCAAGTTTCTTACAAAAGAGAAAGGAGTTTTAAGGATGGGGAGAGAGAAAACTAGAATGAAGCTGTGGTTTAGAACTAGAGCTTGGGGTACTGGTGTGAACAAGCTGTGTTCACTGTACATATATACATTCAGAAACAAACACAGATGCAATTTTGTATATTATTTACACATATATTCCCTAGCTCTGTCCTCTAAGAAGGTCTGACAGCAGTGATAGCACTTTAGCAACGAGCACCTATAGACCAGATCTTGTCTTTTAAATGCCATTTTCCTCCAAAGGCACCAGGACTCCTTGGGGAAACATCAACTTCTAGGTTTGAAACATAAAGACTCAGAATAAGGATAGAATGTCTTATTGTGCCAGAAAGCACAGAAATACTCAAGGAATAACGTGGGGATATTCCAGAAGATGAAACAGGGCATGATTTGAGCATCAAGGTAAGCAATAGCAACAGCTTATATTTTTGTTGTTGTTCAGTCACTAAGTTGTGTCCAACTGTTTGCATCCCCGATGAGTGCAGCACTCCAGGCTCCTCTGTCCTCCACTATCTCCTGGAGTTGCTCAAACTCATGTGTCCATTGAGTCGGTGATGTTATCTAACCCTCTCATCCTCTGCCACACCCTTCTCCTTTTGCACCATCAGTCTTTTTCAATGAGAGCTCTTCACATCAGGTGACCAAAGTATTGGAGCTTCAACTTTATCGTCAGTACTTCAAATGAATATTCATAGGGTTGATTTCCTTCAGGATTGACTGCTGTGATCTCCTTGAAGTCCAAAGGACTCTCAAGAGTATTCTCCAGCACCACAGTCCGAAAGGATCAATTCTTCAGTGCTCAGCTTTCTTTATGGTCCAACTCTCACATCCATACATCACTGCTGGAAACTAGAGCTTTGACTGTACAGATCTTTGTTGGCAAAGTGATGGCTCTGCTTTTTCCATACACTGTCTAGGTTTATCATAGCTTCCTTCCAAGGAGCAAACGTCTTTTAATTTCATGGTTGAGGTCACCATCCACAGTGATTGTGGAGTCCAAGAAAATAAAATCTATCACTGTTTCCATTGTTGCCCCATCTATTTGCCATGAAGTGACGGGACCAGATATCATGATCTTAGTTTTTTGAATGTCAAGTTTTAAGCCAGCTTTTTCACTCTTCTCTTTCACTTTCATTAAGAGGCTCTTTAGTTCCTCTTCACTTTCTGCCATTAGAGTGGTATTATATGCAAATCTGAGGTTGTTGTTATTTCTCCCAGTAATCTTGACTCCAGCTTGTGATTTATCCAGGTTGGCATTTTGCATGACGCAATCTGCATAGAAGTTACAAAGCAACGTAACAACACACAGCCTTGTCGTGCTCCTTTCCCATTTTGGAACCATCAGTTGTTCCATGTCTGGTCCTAACTGCTGCTTCTTGACCCACATACAGGTTACTTAAGAAGCAGGTACGGTCTGGTATTCCCATCTCTTTAAGAATTTTCCACAATTTGTTGTGATCCACGCAGTCAAAGGCTTTAGCATAGTCAATGAAGCAGAAGTAGATGTTTTTCTGGAACTCCCTTGCTTTCTCTATGATCCAACGGATGTTGGCAGTTTGATATCTGGTTCCCCTGCCCTTTCTAAACCCAGCTTGTATATATGGAAGGTTCTTAGTTCACATACTGCTAAAGCCTAGCTTGAAGGAATTTGAGCATAACTCTGCTAGCATGTAAAACGAGCGCAACTGTATGGTAGCCTGAACAATTTTTGGCATTGCCCTTCTTTGGAACAAAGAAGGAATGAATGAAATTCTGGAATGAAAACTGAACTTTTCCAGTCCTGTGGTCACTGCTGAGTTTTCAAGATGTGCTGACATATTGAGTGCAGCACTTTAAGAGCATCATCCTTTAGGATTTGAAATAGCTCAGCTGGAATTCTATCACCTCCACTAGCTTTGTTTGACTTCACATTCCAGGATGTCTGGCTCTCAGTGAGTGATCACGCCATCGTGGTTATCTGGGTCATTTAAGACCTTTTTTTGTATAGTTCTTCTGTGCATTCTTGCCACTTCTTCTTAATCTCTTCTGCTTCTATGAAGTCCTTACCATTTCTGTCCTTTAACTGTGCCCATCCTTCCATGAAACAAGATTACATATATATAACTCATCAAATAAATTAGGAAACCCTGAGTCCAACAAGACGAAAACAAAAAGATTTTAAATATCTGATGAGAGTAAGTAAATAAAATGTTCAAGAACTCAGCATGTCATACTCAGAGCCACGATTCATCACAGTGACACAAAGCAAAGTCAGCAAAGGCACATGGACGCAGCGCAGAGAAAACCAGGAGCGAGCTTCCAACAGGCCCCTTGCAGGGGTGCCACACGGACATATTTAGTTCCCCGAGGAACCAGCTGCGGCCACCTGTGATGTGCTGTCCCCCAAGGAAGCTCACTAGACACTCAGTGCCCAGGGCTGTGACAGGGGCAGGTCATGCGGGCACCTCTGTTTGGCATGTACCCAAGTTCCAGATTCCCCCCCAGAAGGAAGCAGGTTTCAGCAGAGACCACACTCTTTTCAAACATTCTAACAAGGCCTCTTTCAATTAGGGCTAGTGGGTTAGGCTGAAACCCAGGTTCCCAGAAGCCATCTGAAGGCCAACCTCGTAAGCAGGCCTTTCTAAAAACAGCCATCAACATGTGGGGCAAGGGGAGAAGGGGATGGACTGGGAGATGACGACTGACATATATATACTGCTCTGTGTAAAACAGACAGCTAGTGGGAAACTGCCGCACGGCTCAGGGAGCTTAGCGCGGTGCTTGATGACGACCAGAGGAATAGGATGGGGCTTGGGAGGGAAGGAGGCTCAGAGGGAGGGGATATTTGGCCACCTGATGCCACAGAACTGACTAGTTTGAAAAGACCCTGATGTTGGGAAAGACTGAGGGTGGGAGGAGAAGGGGATGGAAGAGGATGAGATGGTTGGATGTCATCACAGACTCAATGGACATGAGTTTGAGTAAACTCTGGGAGCTGGTGATGGACAGGGGGTCCTGGCGTGCTGCAGTCCATGGGGTCGCAAAGAGTCAGAACGACTGGGTGATTGAAGTGAACTGATACATACATACATAGACATAGACATATAGTTATACATCTATATATAACTGATTTACTTCACTGTACACCAGAAACTAATACATTGTAAAGCAACAATACTGCAATTAAGAAAAAATAAATAAAAACAGCCGTATCAGCCCTGTTCTGCTAACTCTTCTCTGCCACAAAACACAATATATTCACCGGTATTAACACCAGGGCTGAAGATGATGAAGGCCAACAGCAAAGATATTTTTTCAGAATATATTATGAATCCCTCCATACCCGCCCCCCACCACCTTACAGCTGTGCATTCATCCCTGACCTCTCAGATCACAAACCTCCAAGTTACAAACTCGCCTCCACCTACCGTCTTCAGAGCAGCACACGCAGTGCAGGGAGCCAGTGGCAATGGCAATGACCTTCTTCCCTTGCAGCCCTTGGACTTGGCGAGGTCTTCTGACATGGTCATCAGATCCATGCCCCAGCCTGTGATAATCACCTTTGCCCCTGTATCCAAGAACATGGAACTTGTGAGTGCAATGCCATCTCGTTCACCATGCTGCCCCACCCTTCTGATGCAAACACCTACAGGAAGACAGAAATTGCCACCTGCCACAGAAGTTACATTTCAGTCTACAAAAAGACAGTTAATGTAACTTCAAATTAACAATCATTGGTTTTGGTGGAATTAAATAAACAGAATCTTACATACCAAGTGTAAACAGCACCAGATTTGGTAAGGGCGACGGAAAACTGGGATCCACATTCCACTTTAACCACTCCAAGGCCTGTAAGAGAGTCAATCTAGAAGGGAAAAGGTTCAATTAGATTGATTGAATCAAGGATTTTGCTGATGGCCGCATCCATATGCTGAACTAAATCTAATAAAGAACTCTGAAAACCCTTACTCCTATGCCAACTATTTATTACAACTTAAAATCCTGCTCCATGTAACCAAGTGTTCTCAAAAGGAGCAGAAATCCCTGGGTCTGAGGGTACACAGGCCATAAGCAGCCTGAGGCCCCTGAGACCTGACGCATAAATGAACACATTGCTCATCCCCAGAATTCACTGTCCCGAATCAGTTTCTCTTTACGGCAGCCCCACTCTCCAGCAAGCCCTGCACTTCACATCTGCCCTCCAGCCTTCCGAGACGTAGAAGCCCGCAGGGGAGGAGGAGCAGGTAACACGGAAGAAGAGCCAAGACAAACAGAGTTCTGGCCTTCTGATACCAGCACTCCACCTGCACAGGTTATTCCAATTAAACACAATGCTGATCATGCCGGTATCCCAGCCCTGCCTGCTCAAGGGTCCAGAACCTTCACAGCCAGCACCCAGAGGTCTTGATGGGATCCACTGACCTAGCTATCATCTTTCTTCACCTATCAAACTATGCTCCTTATTACCTGTGACTGTTTCCAGACTCAAGTTCTCATAATTATAAATTTAAATTAGTAATAACTTAATTCTTTTAGTTTTCCCCTCACCCTACCCCCATCACAAAGAGATCAGTGATATCCTCCAGTGCCCCCTCTCCCCAAGTACTTGACATTTCAATCCTGGTTAAGTCTAAAGCTTTCTCAACATAAAAAAGTCAACAATTTTTTTCATAAATGTGGAAACCATAAGCAATCTGTCATGTAGTTAAAATTCTGTATAATTATAAGGGAAAAGAGAAAGTGGTGATAAGGAGGAGGAGGCAGCCTTGAGTCCCAGACTTTCCAGCAGCACCTGCCAAGGAGGCTCTGAGCAGCCACGGCCTCCTGGCACAGAGTTTAGGTGCCGTCTCCTTCATCATGCCCTGCCTCAGGAAAGCGCCTGCATGATAATGAAGCTTGTCGTGTCCACACTGCCCAGCGTGGGAGCGCATCAGCTCCTGAAACGTGGATCCTGTTAAGTGAGGGAGTTCTGATTCAGGCCAACATCTTGGTAGTCGCGTGTGGCCAGAGGCTCCTGTACGGAGCAGCACAGCTCCGGGCCGAACACCTGGCAGTCCCAGCTCAGGCCCTTCTGACGGGCCCAGAGTGGCTTCCCACCCGCCCCTGGCTGCCGGCGCAGTGTGCGGGCCTCCACCCCAGCGGGCAGTCTCGGAACTCCAGCCAGAGAGGATCCAGGCAGAAGCAGCTTCTAGCTTTCCTTCACAGCGCCTACACTCCCAAGTCCACAGCGAAGCACCTCGGCTGCAGGCTGCTAGGCAGTCAGCAAGTGACCCAAGCACACCAATGAACGAAAAACCTCTGCCAACTACCTATCCACAAAGGCAAAATACAGTTGTGACCACAAATGCTAATAAACTACCCAGAGCCACTCAGCTCAAGTGAAGCCTCTTCTCTTGGCTTCTCACAAGATGTCCATCTAACAGCTTCTGACTAAGCCAGATGCAGCCTTTCAGCGAGTACTAGTAAACTGCACAGCTACAGACCTCAGGAAACTGAAGAGTGTGAACGAGTTGGTGCTTTTTCCTCAAACAGGGCTACATACTAATTAAAACCACAGACTATGTGATTCCTCCCTGATTACAGACACTTTCCAAGAAAGCACAAAACTGCACTTAAAACATCTTTATCCCTCTGGGTCTTTCACTCACTGTTCCCCCAATAACCCACTATATTTTCTCCAAACAAGTTAAAGGTGAAGTTAATGCAGCATAGCACAGGACATGAGCCCAGCAGGGCCCTGGGCTCGCGCACGTGGATGGTGCCCATGAGCAACCTGAGCTCCAGAGACCACACCCGAGGGCCCCAGGAGCGTCAAGGGGAATACCTTCATGGGCACCTTGCAGCCGTCACTGCCTCCTCTGCCCAGCTTGCCGTAGTCCCCATCCCCCCAGGACCAGACAGTGTCGTCATCCGTGAGGCAGAGGGTCTGGGCGTCCCCGCTGCCACAGGCAACATCAACCACGCGGTGGCCCTGCAGCGCCTCCACCTGCAGAGAAAGGGGACTTAGGGGTTACCTGACCACAACAGGAAGGAGAATCTCCCCTAGAGAGGCTAAGGTGCTGAGATTTTTTTCTTTGGGGGATGCCTGTTTTAATTCTTCCCAAAAAACAGGTAATCTTAATAATCCTATAAGAGAAGATAGAAAATACCCCTCACATATTCAAACTATAGGCATCTCAGCTGTAAGAGGCAGACCTCAGTGTCCCCTGCTCAGTGCTGCCACCCTATTGCCTCACCCAAAAAAACTGGGCCTTCTAGGAGACAATGTCTCTAGGTAGATGCCAAAGTGATATTTACTAGTGTAGATAAAAGGGTATTTCAAACACTATCCTGTTTAAATGACCTATGGAAAATATACCAAGATGGTTTTTATTCCCACCAAAAATAAAACTGTTAACTCTGAAACTAAAACGAATCTGGAACAGGAAATACTTTTTACTTTTAAAAAAGGATAATGACAATGGCAAGCTGTCCCTCCAGACCTCCCAGGCAAAGCTGCTCCTCACCAGCTTCGGCTTTAACTGGTCCTCACTGTCACTGTGCCCCAGACGGCCATACCGGCCTTTGCCCCAAGTGTACAGGTCGCCAGCCGCAGTGACACACGCGCTGTGGGCTCCACCGGCAGCAACATCAACCACCTCAGTTCCTCTTAGAGACTCAATCACACGAGGACGGTCACACGGACTGCAAAAAAATCACCAAATATAGCAGCAGGAGTTTAATTCCTGAATGTTTTTAAATTATTTCACATTAGGCTTCCAGTGTGCTGTTCACTTATTCAATGCACACCTCTCAATCTACATCAAGTCAATCATTAAAAAAAAAAAAATCAATCTGGAGGAATGATTCAGACCTGAACTCTGAATTACATAATACCCTACCTACCTGCTTTTACAGAAGCTGCCGAATGCCAGAGAAGAGATGTACACTCTAAATCAAGGAGTAGCGCTTACAGGTTGACTAAGTCTGGACTATACCCTATTTTTGAAAGGCCAGTGAACTGAGAATGGGTTTTACAATTTTTAAGGGTTGTAAAACAAACAAAACAAGAAAGAAGCATAGACAACAAAGATGGTATGTGACTGACAAAGTATTTATTACTATCTGGCCTTTTAGAGAAACAGGTTATCCACCCTTGCTATAAATCAACTTTTCATTTATAGACTCAAATAGTCTAGAATATGACAAGCACTAACAATAAACTTCCTTTTCTTGAGTTTTGAAAGCTCTTTTTAACAATTTCAGATATAAGACCTTAGTCAAATATATGATGGCAAATGTTTTCCCGTCTTAACACTGTCTTTATAAAAATTGTGAATTTCTTCAAAGAGAAGCTCACAATTTTCATGAAGTCCAATTTATCCTATTTTTCTTTATTGAACTGTGCTTTTGGAGTTCTAGCTAAAAATCTTTGTCTGACTTAAGGTCACAAAAGTTTCCCCTCATGTTTTCTTCTAGAAGTTTTTAGTTTTAGGTATATGAGTTAATCTTGGATATTATGCAAGATAATTCAAGTTCAAAGATCGAGGTATTCCCTTAGGCAGGGTTGAAGATTTCAGGCTGTGGTATGTGGAATTTAGGCCGTAGTCCTTATTTCTGGATGGATTACTGGACATGTTGCACAGTCCATGCTTTAAACCAGATCTGAGCAGAAGATTGGCTAGTTGGCCTAGATAGTAGTAAGTGAAGTATTTGGTTTAATTCTGGATATTAATGGTACAAGGTAAGAATTTAAGTTCACTGTTTACCATATGGTTATTGAATTGTTCAAAACCATTCACTGAAAAGGCTATCTTTTCTCTAAAAACTTGTCTTTGCACTTCTGTAAAAATTGTGAGGAACAAATCAAATTTCATTCTTCCACACTTGTTGTGTCAGTATTTGCAAGTGCATTTTTGGACTCCCCATCCTGTTCTGCTCTACTGACGTATTTCTCTCTCTTTACAGTACCTCACTGTCTTGATTACTGTATCTTTATAATGAGACTTGAAGTTAGGTAGTATCAGCTCTCCAACTCTGCTCATTTTCAAAGTTTGTTTTTACTATTAGAAGTACTTTGCATTTCCACATGAATTTTATAATCAGCTTGCCAATTTCTACAGAAATTCTGAATGGGAAGGGGTTGAATCGATAGGTTAATTTGGGAAAAACAACAAATTAACAATAATGAGTCTTCCAATCCATGAACACAGTATACTCCTCCATAATTTTAGGTCTTTTACAATTTCTCAGTAACATTTTTATAGGTTTTTTTGTTGTCTATAAGTTATCCATATCTTTGGGTCAAATTTATTCCTTACTATTTCAATTTTAGGGGAAGGGTACCATAAGTAGTATTTTAAAATTTCAATTTCTGATTGCATATGTAATATGTATAAAGACACAGTTGACTTTTTTTGATACAGGAATGTTTCCTTTGTCTACAACTGGCCTTCATTTACTGATCTTCTATCCTGTAACTTTGCTAATCTCACTTACTAATTCCAATAGATTTTCTGTAGATACCATCAGATCTTCTACATAAATAATCATATTATGTGTAAATGGACAGTTATTCTGAATATTCATTGGAAGGGCTGATGCTGAAGCTGAATCTCCTATACTCTGGCCACCTGATGAAAACAGCTGACTCATCAGAAAAGACCCTTATGTTGAGAAAGATGGAAGGCAGGAGGAAAAGGGGATGACAGAGACGGTTGGATGGCATCACCAACTCAATGGAAATGAGTTCAAGCAAGATCCAGGAAATAGTAAAGGACTGGGGAATCAGGTGTGTTGCAGTCCATGGGGTCACAAAGAGTTAGACGAGCAACTGAACAACAACAAATTCTCTTTCCCATTTGAATGCCTTTTATCTCTTTGCATTATTGTACTGCCCTTGCTAAACCTGCTAAACAATGCTGAATACAACTACTGACATCAGTGGACTTCCCTGTCTCGTTCCTGGAGATAGGAAAACTGCTAGGTCTGTCACTGTCAGGTATCGTGTTAGTCCTAGGTTTAACAGAGATGCCCTTTATCAAGTTTAGGAAGTTTTCTTTCCTTCCTATATTGCTCAAAGTTTTTTTTTTATCAGAAACAAAGGTTAATCTGCTAAATGCTTTTCTGCCTTTTATCCACTGAGATAATCAAAATAATTTTTCTTTTTTATACTGATCAATTTTTTAATGTTAAAACAATTATTCAATTTCTGGTATAAATCTCACTTAGCCATACTGCTTTATCCTTTTTCATACTGTTAAGACTCAATTTTCTAAACTATTAAGAATTTTTACATCTATGTCAATGAAGGATATTGGTCTGTATTTTCTTAATAATATCTGAGTCTGATTTTGATATAAGAATGGAACTGCCCCCACAAAAAACTAAATTGGGGAGAATTCCCTTCTTCACTTTTCTGAAATAGTTTGTGCAGAACTGGTATTATCTGTTACTTACATGTGTGGTAGAAATCACTAGTCATCTACATGGTCCTGAAGACTTATCTGTGGAAAATTCAATTTTTTAAATAGACACAGGGCCATTCAAGTCATCTTTCCTGAGTGAGTGTTAAAGAATATGTGTCCTTTGAGGAACATGTCCATTTCACCTAAAAAGTTAAACCTGTCTGCATAAAGTTACTCAACATACTTCATCTTTCAGTAACTACACATCTTTAGTGATGAACACTCCCTCATTCCTGATATTCCTATACATTCACAGTGTGTGTCTGTGTGTGTGTGTAGAGAGAGATCAGTCTAAAAGGCGGTTTTCACTGATTACACTTTATCAAAGAACCGACTTCTGTTTTCTTTCATTTTCTTCCATTTTTCTGTTTTCTATTTCATGGATTCTTATTTCCTTCCTTCTGCTCACTTTATCTTTTTCTAGTTTCTTAAAGTAGAAGCTGAGGTCATTGTTAAGGACCATTTTTCTTTTATAAAAAGGCATTTTATGCTATAAGTTTCCTTCTAAGCACTGCTTTTTCTGGATCCTACATATTTTTACATGCTGTTTTCACTTTCACTCCACTGTATCTCCACTGTACTCTAGCTTGCATTACTGCTCATCAGAAATTCACCATCACCCTTCATCTGTTATTCTTTATATAACTGGTATTTTTCCCTCTGGCTGCTTTAAATTTTTTTTCTCCTAATCAATGATCTTGGGCAATTTGATTATGATGTGCTTTGGTGTAGTTTCCTTCAGTTTCTCTTGCTTAGGGTTCTCTGAGCTTCTTATATCTGTGAGTTTATGATTTTCATCAAATTTGAAATTTTTTAAGCCATTACATCTTCAAAATCTCCATCCTCCTCACCTTTGATTATGCATATATTGGGCCACTGGAGGTTGCCCGCAGCTCACTGATATTACTGTCTTTTATGTATTCTTTTCTTCTGTTTCACTTGAATCGTTTCTATTGTTATGTATTCAAGCGCACTGCCCTTTTCTTCTGTAATGCTTAATCTGCCATTAATCCCATGAACTGTATTTTAGGCCTTAGACACTGTTTCTTAAGTATTTTGGATATTAACCCCCGATCAGTTACATGGTTTGCAAATATCTTCTTTCATCCCACAGGATGCCTTTTCACTGTGCTGTGCAGTAGATTTTCAGTTTGATGTCCCATTTGTTTTTGTTGCTTTTGCTTTTAGTGTCATATCCAAAAAGTCAATGCCAAGACTACTGTCAAAGAGCTTTTCCCCTATTTTCTTCTAGGAGTTTCACTGTTTCAGGTCTTATAGTCAACTTTTTAACCCATTTTGAGCAAATTTTTGTGACTGGTGTAAGACAGGGGTCCAATTTCATTCTTCTGCATTTGAACATGTAATTTTCCCAAACAACACTACTGAAGAGACATGTGCCTAATAATTTTTGACCAAATGAACAATATTGTAAATACTATACCATATGCTGTTTGTATCCATAAAATATTCTTGAGGTCTGACCTCTACAACACAGTTAAGTTACTTGAAAGCAGTTTAATCCTTTCATGTCCTGCTTTCTTAGATTTGCTGGTGGGATCAGAACAGCAGTTCAGGCAGTCTTAGCCAAATTCCTTCGGCAGTTTTGTGCCCCATCATCCTTGGTCCTCTGCTCAGGGCCCCATGAGTTAGGAGGTCTGGGGAGTGGGCACTACCTACAGAGCTCTGTGCGCTCTGAGAATGCTGCCCCCAGTCTTTTAGGTGGTCTATTCCTTGGCCTCTCAGATGTTCTCTTCACAAATGAGTGTCAGTGTTCACCTCTGGAGATCACTGAGCACACCTCACTGCCTGTTGTTCAATGCCTTGGGGGCTGCTGTTTCATGTATCTTGTTTGGTGCTTTAGTTATATCAGGTGCAAAGGTCCTGTGGCTTCAATTTGGCCTTTATTTCCCATTACCTTTTAAAAATTACTGAGTTTGTTTTGTGTAAAAAACTGTGTCATTTGTGTGTTCCTTTCCCCTCACTGACATTTGCTCTGTATTTACAGGTTTAGCATCTGCATGTTAACAAAATGTGAGCTATTAGTGGAGAACTAGGACCAGGGTAAGCAGCCTCAGGGGAAAGGACGAGATGAAGCTCCCCATACTTGGTAATCAGGAATCAAACTTCAGATCTGATGCCCCGAACAGAGAGCTCATGTGGGCGAGCCTACACGATGTCACACGAATTATTTCTGCTAAGTCAGTCATTAGGCTTGAGTAGATCATCGCAGATCCGGCCCTGAAAAACAAGCTACCAATACACTACACAAGCATTAACACAGACAAAATCAGGAAAAGAAGACACAGCACTGGAAACGGCACTTCACACAGTACCTTCGGTTGCCATGCCCCAGCTTCCCATCTTCTGCTTCACCCCAAGAGTAAACTTCTCCTTCTGAAGAGAGGGCAAGACAGTGTTTTCCTCCTGAGTTCACAGCTACTTTCTTAATGAACACATGCTGAATGGATTCAAGCAATGTGGGGGTGGACACCGATTCTGTGCCTCCAACTCCTAGTCTGCCGCCCGCACCATACCCAGTGGCGTATAGCTACAAGATAAAATAATACAGACATCATATTTTTATCTAAGAATCCCATATTTCAATAATTAATAAATAAAGCTCTAGGTATTTTTTACCACAGAAAAATTAAATTTAAAATTAAGACTTTATTTTTGCTTTATAAGAACTCTAAAAATTAAAGAAAAAGTTACAATTAATAGAAACTTCAAATTCAGAAAATGTATTTTGAAAGCACGTCTTTTCCCTGGAAGTACTTCTATTTTTGTCTAGAATAGCAATTACAATTAATACCAAGAAAAGCAAAAAAAAAAAATTAATTATCTACTATATGCAACCCCGGAGAAGGAAATGGCAACCCACTCCAGTATTCTTGCCTGGAGAATCCCATGACAGAGGAGCCTGGCCGGCCATGGTCCACAGGGTCACAGAGAGTCGGACACGACTGAAGCGACTAAGCATGCATGCACGCACTATATGCAAATCCCAAATAACACCTACAGAAATACCCATAGGAAAAGTATATATATGTCTAATATTTCAGCAAAGCAGTATATAAATCACATAGAAGACTACACTATTTTTCTTTCATTCTAGGTGGGTAATTCATTTAGGATATAAAACATCTTTATCATAAAAAAAAAAAATCAAGACTGCCGTTTCCCAATGCATGTCAAACACCCCTCCTATAACAATTTAAAGGCTGTTTCACATTGTTTCAGCTGGTATGCTACACTGACACAACAGGAAGGAAACTTGAAGGCCCAAAACAAGAAGTAAAACCAAGAATTCAGACAGATAAATGAGCCCAAAGTCAGTTTCCCTGGGAACGCTTTGAGGATCTCAAGTGCACAGCAAGTCGGGGGTTAGGAGTCAAGCCCAAAGGGAGACTTTGTAAAAACAAGAGGCTGAAAAGGGCTTCCTCTCACTCAGACTGAATGAAAACTAAGAAGAAAACAAAGAAAGCTGTCTTTCTCAACCTTAGGACTGAATGAAAGGGTGGAGAATCTCTCCTGAGAATTCGTAACCACGAAAGCTGGTCACTGAGTTAGTTTTCAGTCTGAATTAATGCTACCTATGGTCTATATCCTGCAGACCTCCCTGGTGGCTCAGACGGTAAAGCGTCTGCCTGCAGTGCAGGAGACCCAGGTTCGATCCCTGGGTGGGGAAGATCCCCTGGAGAAGGAAATGGCAACCCACTCCAGTATTCATTCTTGTCTGGAAAATCCCATGGGGTCGCAAAGAGTCGGGACACGACTGAGCGACTTCAGTTCACTTCGTGGTCTATATTCTGTAGCTAGAGAATTTAATTTACAATGGCTTAGACTTGTAGTACCCCAGGGTCATAAATTCTCTTTTGATCAGTGACTTCAAACCAGACCTCTAACACCACAAACTTCTTAACCAGCAGAGACAGGAGAGAACACTATGTGAAAAAGCAAAAAAATGTGCTGGCTTCTCTTTTTCTCTTCATTTAGATACTGCCTGATCCCTCAGTCCCTGCCTGGAACCTTTCATGGAGATATTTCCAGGCAGTTTTCTATACTTCAAAAAGCTGTCCCATCCTTTCAGAGTCCTACTTCTTGCAGATATTTAACTAAGATGTTAACAGATTCTAATAGTTTATGATATCATTTTTTTAAATGTGTCCATTAATTGCATAACAAATCTAAGTAACAACAACAACAACAAACTAGGCCTCATCTCAAAGAATTTCTACATAAAATTTTCCAAGGAAAATAGTCAGCTCAAAATTCCCATTACCTAACAGTCAAAAGAAACAAAGTCCAATATTATGTTTAAAGAAATAAAAGCTTGAAAGTATCCCCAAGGAATGAGAGACTAAGATAACACAAAGCAGAATTTCCAGAAATTAAAAAAACAGAGTTGAAATTAAAAGCCCTGATGCATAAAAGAGATTATAAGCAGGTGAAGAAATATTAGAAAACTAGCATATGGCTCTGAGGAAATTATCCAGCATATGGCAAAGAAACACAGAAAGAAGAGGAAACAGAAAAGAAGAGAGAATTTGGGATAGACCTCCTCACTTGAACATCAATCAGAACTCGGAGTTTTAAGTACAGATCACAGAGTGTCAGAAAGCATTTAACAAGAGGCTTCCCGCGTGCTGTTTCCGATCTGTCAGGAACCCTCCAGCCCTTATTGATTCCTGAACATTCAGGAATTAAGAGGAGAGGCACGCCTTTCCCGGGGCTGAGGAATGCAGGCATTTCTCATTACAGTGATAAGTACCCTCTTCCTTTTTATGAGCCAAATGTTAAAAGGTGATCACTTGCAACTCTCTCTTTGATAGGGATCATCTTATGTTTTGTAAGTCTGGAATTTTAATCTTTGTCTCTGCTGAGAATAACCACCGTGTAAGACAGTATATACGCCCACGCCATGCTGATTAAAACACCTTTGCTCCATCAGAGGTTTGGTCCACATGTCTTTCTTTCTTTCTTTCTATTCCTTCTTTCTGTCTTTCTCTCTCTCTCTATTTCTGGCTAATTCCTTGGAGCGCGGAGGCCCGCTGAGCTCACTTTCTTGCCCGGGCTTCTAATCCCCTCTCGAGAAGGCGTACTGTGCCTTCACCCACTCGAGAGGG